ATATATATATATATATATATATATATATATATATATATATATATATAAAATTTGTTTTCTGAGGTTCTCGCGGGTATTTGTATGTGGATCTTTGGTTATTCGGGTTTTCTCTCGCGTAAGATTCGAAGTATCTAGGCAACGTTTCGATGAAGTCTCATTCATCATCTTCAGGCTTGCTTCTTCAGCTCTGTGCTTCTCAGAGTGATGTGAGCTTTCAGCTGCTTCTTCCTTCTAACTGCCAGTGGGGGTGTGACTTGACTGGGTGGGGGCTTGGCTGCGTTCCGATTGGGTGGAGGTGTGTTCTCATTGGTTGGAGGCTTGGCTGTGTTCTGATTGGTGTCTCAGATCGGAGCCTCTCTCTTCCTTCACTTCAAAAAGTCTTTTTTATACAGGTACTTTCCTTTTGTCTCACTCTTCACTGTTACTTGTGTTGCTTTTTCAATCTTACCTTCTACCATCGATCGGTTGGGCAGCCACGTCTCCGGATCAAGTCGTGAAGACCGATCTCTTTCGCGCCTGTTTTTTGGACTTTCTCTTACAGCATTTGGGAGGCCCAGTTCTCCCCGATACCTCCGAGTCTTCTCCTCTCTATTGCCAACCCCTCCAGGATCCGAGTTCATCCTTACGGGCTACCGATCATGAAACTTTGGGCATTCAGAACGGAGCTCCCTTCGTCTGCACCTATTCAGCGTGGCACCACAACCGGAAGTCATTTTACAATAAATCTTTTAATGCATGATGGCATTATGATCCTTACAATTTCTTAAACTGATCTTTTCTTAACAAAATTTCAGATTTTTGTGCAAAATTAATTTCAAGAAACAATTACTATTTTACTATTATAATAAAATTGTATCAGTGTCTGTAGTATGAATTATATTTTTTTAATTCAGTTTTACATAAACTTACTTTCCTGCTAATCTTTAGCAGAGATGCTACAGGACTTCTTTCAAATGAAAGTTATGCAAGTAGCCCAAAATAGTAAACCAATCATCTTGAAGCGAATCCTTTTAGCAAATGACAAAAATTAAGCTATGACTACCAGACAGTAAACAACTTGACATTTCTACATATACATTATAATGGAACAAGCCACATTAATACCACTGTCTTTCCTTTCTTTTTTCCTTCCTCTCTTTTGTCTTCAATGCAATTTATCCTGCTAACCACTGATGTCAGAATGTGTTGAAACTGTGCACACCAGGATTATTGTGCTGTAAATAATACCTTTCTGCTGTAGTTAAATGTTATCCTTCCAGCAAGGCAATCTTTTCGTAGCTTACTTGTTCTTTGTGGTTAGACATTTTTCTTGGCTATAGCTGTCATGTGGGAGGCTGTTTGAAAAGCTTCCAAATTAACCGGCTCTAGAACTGAATTATACAGCATACATTAATAAAGAGGGAATAGTATTGCATACGTGCATGTAGGTTTTATATGTTTTATAGATCCAATTTAAACACAGTTGTTCAAATGTGAATCACTTTTCCAATCTTATGTTTAATTGACATTCAGTGGAATTGGCCAAGTTATTGTCACAAAATGAATAGCTAGTTACACAAACCTCATATTGCAGTACCTCATTGTTACCCTATTTCCTAGGCTACATTATTAAGTACATTTTCAATATATAAGATAATTATTAATTTATAATTATGCACCCATATTTATCTGTGGTTTCCTATTCCTTGGAAAAAAGTGAAAAGTTTATCAGGCCTTCTTTTTGGGAAAGAAATAGATAAGGAACTATGGTTGCAATAGATTGCACTACCTCAGGGGTGTCGAACTCAAGGCCAGAGAGCTGGATCTGGCCTGTGGGATGCTTAGATCTGGCCCATGGGGCTGCCCTAGAAACAGCAAAGGACCAGCCCACTCTGCCAGTGAAAAAGGAGCTCAAGAGGGCAGCATGCGGCACTCTTGAGCTCCATTTTCACTGGCAGGTGGTTGCAGGAGGCCATTACAGCTGAAAACAGAGCTTGTGAGGGCCGCACATTGCCCTCCAGAGCTCTGTTTTCACTGGCAGAGTGCTGCAGGGGGTCATCACGGCCAAAAGTGGAATCCACAAGGGCTGCATGAGGCCGTCCCGAGCTCTGTTTTTGCTGGCAAAGTGCTGCAGGAGACCATCGCCAGAAGTGGAAAATAGTGGGAACATATAATTAAGAAAACAGTCAAAATGAGCAAGTTAAAATATTATGAGATTTCCGAAAATAAACTAATAGACTAATACCTTAGCATATAACAGTGATTTAACTATGGCTGGGGAAAAAGTGGATAATTGATGTGGCAATCCCAGGAAATTGAAAATTATAAGACAAATAATTGGAGAAGATCATAAAGTATCAAGATCTGAAAATCGAATTTGAAATATTATGGCATAAGTTTTAAATGTAGAAAATCTGTGCATTAATAAAATTTTCACCTGTCAATTATAAAAGACCATGCTGCTTACATCTACAAATATATTATTAGGATATCCAAGGTTCTTGAAAGAACCCCGTATGAGATTTGCATGACAGCCAACATCATTTAAGGAACTGATAACTGAGATTTCACAATGTGTGTATATAATAATATTTTTAAAAATTGCAATAATTCTTTTGTATAATTCCTTTTTCTTAGGGAAAATCGGTGATAGATTTTTTTAAGCCTGTGGATTTTGTTTTTCCTATACAACTGCTACGTTAGGCATTGTTTTTCTAATACAACCTGAAGTCAGGCAAGCCAGCTGAATGACTATGGGTCTCAGCACAGCCCACCTCAAAGGGGCTAATTCACTGCCTTGAATTACTTATAAAGTAAAAAAGATGCGGTAACCTTTTTTAATAACAGTACTACCCAAAGGTGGGATTTTTTTTTAAAAAAAACCTGATTAATAACAATGCCCAAATTGGCTGCCCTAGAAATGTTCCGATCAACTTTCAAAAAAGTGTTTAAGTTACCATAAACGTCAGCTGTACGTTTAATCACGCACAAAGCAGGAAGGGGATCCTTACCACCGAGCGTAACGTCAGGAAATGCTTTGACACTTCCTGTAAAGAAAAAAACGCGAAAGCCCAGTCAGGCCGTCACGTGGATTGACGGTTGATGCGCGGAGAGGGGGGAATTTCCATGGCAGCGCGCGACTATTTACAGTCAGTTACTGTTAGAGGCAGCGTCACTAATCCCGTAAGAGTACAGAAGGACCCCATACCAGAAAAATACTCTTTTAACCTATTGTAACGTTAATTCATGATTTATGACCTCAACCGATATAACCATCACCTTTCCTCTTCACCTTTGTCATCAAACTCTCCAGTTTCCTCCGCCTCGGTGACGCTCCCTCCTCCCGACAGCCTTCTGGCCTCCTGAACGGAAAGCCCCGCCTCGAAGGCCGTTGCGCATGCGCTATAGGGCCAGCCGGGTTAAGGTAACCGCCGCCATCGCGCTTCGGCTGTTTTTGAGCTGTTGCCGTCATGACGAAGCTGAGCAAGGAAGCTAAGCAGAGACTGCAGCACCTCTTCAAAGGTGGCCAGCTGGCCATCCGTTGGGGCTTCATCCCTGTGGTACTTTATTTAGGTCAGTGCGGAGGGGGAGAATCGGTCTTAAAGCGACGCCCTGCCAAAAATGACAAGGATCTCCGTTACCCGCTTGAGCCACCTCTGTAGTCCGTTGCGGCTCAGATGGGCCTCTGTAATCGTTTCTTGCAACACAAGGAATGGGGAGTTGAGGTCAAAAGGAGCCTTTTCCCCGATGGTTATTGTTGCTCCCTTCGAATTAAATTTGCAAGATAGGTAGTCCAATCGGTTTCCTTCCAGGCAGCACCCGTTGACAGAGGCTTTTTAAAAGAAGAATGGCAACTTTGGGGTATGAAAGAATAGAAACTAAATGGTAACAAGTTCAGTTTATTCTCTCTTTGAAATGTAATGGGAAAATCTTAAAGACAAACCAAATAATTAACAGAATTAGTGCCCAACAAAAAAACAGTCCTGATGCTTACACTTTATAGGATGTCTGTAAAAAGAAAATAGATCAAAGAATGGAAGGATTTACAGCACATCTCTGAAGTATTGACTTTCTATTGCCAGTAATTAATAGTTTGAGGTAGTATTCTGCCTTAAATCAAATGTGCCATCCCAAGATCCTGTTACTGTAGAATAGGTACTTGTGGAATAGATACCTTATTTGAGGTTGATGCAGAAAGGGTGTTCTCTTTTGTTTATCTTTCCCAATGGCACTTTTCTGGATTGACTTGAATTATTTTATTTTTACCATATTTGTTTTACTATATATGGAATGTCTATTGATCAAAATTGCAGTGAAATATGCAACCAATTTATTCATAAGATTTCTGTCCATGTATCCATATATATGCCACATATACATAAAATAACATTTTCTACAAAAGTTTTCATCTTGTTTAAGATCAAGGCTGTTGAGAAAGATGGCACATGGAGATAATTATTTTCATATACAGCTCTGCCCGTAATCTTTCAAGGAATTGCTTAATGGTGGAATGGAGTACAATTGTAAAAAACAGCTAATGGATGTCTTACAGATATTCTGCAAGAAAAAAAAAATCATACAAATGCAGTTTTGCATATTTTTAAACTACACAGAGTAAATTCAGAGTTTGAGCTTATTTTCTGGAAAAATAACTGAAAGATAGAGTGGCCTCCTTTGGATCCTAATTTATATTATTTGTTGGAATATTTTTTCACAAGCTGTGACTGGGTTTACATAATATGCTAAACTAAACCATTATGTAGTTTTGTGAAACAATAGAGCATTCAGTAAACTGGTCTAGTGCAGGGGTCCCCAACCACTGGTCCCCGGACCGGTACCGGTCCGTGGATCATTTTTTACTGGGCCGCAAAGCTTGGGTGCTGCCATCTTATTTCGAAGGCGCTTCCGGGTTTTCGGTTGCTTCCGGGTTTTCAGTTGGAAAGTGCTTCCGGGTTTTCAGTTGGAAAGCGGCGTTTGGGTGCGTGCGCCTTAGTTTTGTCGAAGGGGGGGGGCGGCTTCGAACGAAGAGCCGTCCCGATGGTGGTGGAGTCTCGCGTTACTCAGGTACCGGTCCATGGAAGAATAAATAATCGTGAAACCGGTCCCTGGTTCAAAAAAGGTTGGGGGCCACTGGTCTAGTGTATTAATAAATCCAGCCTAACAATATATCTGAATGAAGCCTTGCAAAAGTATGAATGAGAAAGGAGTGGAAGATGGATGACAAATGAATGATGATAAAACAATCCAAAGAGTTGATTTTTCCTGCTGTTGCCCATATTTGAAACATAAGTGTGCATATGGAGTATACTATAATGGAATTGTACTATCAGTTTGTGTCCTCATTCACTGATTCACCTAAATAATAGTTATTGCAAAATCAAAGCTTACCTGTACAAATTGTTTGAAAATGGTATACTGCTTCCAGTTCTAGTTACAATCCATTCTTGTTATGTGTGGTAGTTATGTTCTATGAAATAAGAAATAGAGGACTGACAGTATGAAAGCTGAAACAAGAAGGCAAAGTATTTGTCTAGTTTGACCTTATCTGGGAACATGCACACTGGGTGAATCAGATTTTTTACCATTCTGAACATGTTTGTAAATGACTGTGAAAGCATTTCAAGTATTGATTTATAATAATAAATCATAGCGAGGATTGACTATAGTGTACCTATTAGTAAGCAATTTTCTGAGATGACATATCCTATAGAGTCTTTTTTTCTCTAATAAATAAACATTCCATTTTAATAGGAAAACTGAAATCCTAATCTATATTTAGTACTGTACGTGTAAATTAAGCTTATATCTGCTTTTGTGAGATAAGTGGATAATAGTGGGAATCATGAGGGAAAGAAGATTAAAGCAAAAAGCAGAGTGAATGAGTATTTGCTCCTAAATGATTACAAAGATAATTGTATATTTGTATAATAAATTTATGATTCATATTTAAACAATAAGTATGTTCTGGGTAACAGTTTTACAATATACATTAAAACTACTAGTTATTGAATCTGGATACAGAATTATATTTAGATGAATTTTTACTGAAATATTCCTTTCATTCTCATTTTCATGTAACTTTTATTAATTGTTTATGAAAAACTTAATACTGGTTTGAGAAAAAGGTAATCTGTTTTAGTATATTGCTAGAATATTCAAAATTTTCAAATGAGAGGATAAAGCAAGCAAATTTAATAAATATTTTTATTTTGTTGGCAGTACATGTTTTTTGCAGTCTCACTAAGCAAATAGCTTAACTTGCTAGTACTTAAGACAGCTCTTTTCTGCTTCTGCTCAACAGCAAATAAAATCCTATTTATTAGTAAAAATAGAATCTGTTCATGGTTATAGATATAATGACAAGAGGTCTTTTAATATTCTTCATTCCCACATAGATATGTATTGTTAAGCATATAATAGGAGGATTTATACAACAAGTAAGCCACAATATTTGAGTTTGGTCACTTGTTAAATGCAGTATGTGAACCTAATCTATGGAATATGGGAAAGGTACAAGATAGTGATGCATTCACTATAATCCGTGGTTAATTAACCAACAAATATATTTTATATTATGTAAAGAAGGCCATTAATATTTTCATAAAATTCACAATTTTTTTATTGTAAATAGGTTTTAAGAGAGGTGCAGATCCTGGAATGCCTGAGCCAACTCTTTTGAGGTATGTGATTATTTTTAAACCTCCTGTAAAGTACTGTAGGCTGCAATGTATATTACCCATGGATTGTTTTATGAAGTTCTGTGATGTTCTGTTAATGTAAAATTGTATAAAGTTTTATTAACTTCACATTACCTAAAATTTTGCCTTGGCACCTACTTTAGGAATGAGCATGCCCCTGAAATCTCAAGGACTCCCATTCTGATGATATTATGGAGAGCATTAAAGCCCTTTTGCCAGGCTCTGGTTAGGGTAACTGAAGCCCCTTACCCATTATGTGATAAGTCTTTCTGTATTGCTGGCCGGATTAACAATTTTGTTCATTTATGGAATAGTTTTATTTTGTCTTGTTAGTAGCTGTCTTATACTAAAGCCACTCAGAACCAGTATCAGTAACATCTACATTGGATAAATAAAATAAAAATAAACTTAAAACTCTATACTCCTGGATAGACATAAGACAAATAATCTGCAACTATTAGTTAACTTTACTGGTAAACACTTTGCTAATTAAAAATTACTGGAAAAAAATAATATAAAACCATACGCTTGTGATTACTAATCCTATGATTTATTTTAATTGCTAGATTATAGAATTTCAGGAAAAGTATTTGATAACACTGCTTCTATATTTATGATAGAAAGCATTACATTGTAAAGCTACTGATATGAGCTACATTTTCACCAGTACATAAAAGAATTTTCACCTTTGGAATTATAAAAGTTATCTAAAACTTTTTATCAATTTTATTATTATAAAAACAATTTGCAATTTAGTACAGCCTATGGTCTAAATGTTTAAAACTACTATAATTAAGTTACATTTTATTTCATTTATTTCAAATAAATCTTCACATGGTAGTCTATTCAATTTTATATGTTGTCATATGCCTATTATATTTTAAATATGTTGCATGTAATCTGTTAAATTTGAAATGATTGTTTCTGTGGAATATTAATCTTACCTCAGATTTAAATAATTTAAAATGATTTAACAGACATGTAGGTTTTTTTCTCTAAATTATCAGTGATCAAATTGAGTCCTTAATTCAGAAAAAGCTTCATTTAAATTAATATTAACATGCTCATAATTTTGTAAATTGAGTTTATATTTAAATTGTGTATAGAAGCATGAATTCAGCATACTTAAAATATATCTGGCATTTGGTTTAAAAAATAAAGGTTATCACACATTTGTTTTTTCTTCTGTTTAATTATGTCTAATTCTTCAAAGTTACCAAGACAAATCTCTGCAGTTTTCTTGTTGAGGTTCTTCAGAAATGGTTCCTAGAGTTGAGAGAAAGTGATTTCCTTACAGAAACTTATACAGTGTCAACATTCATCCAGTCAATTAAAGTGTAGATCAAAAAGTAAAAAAAAAAAGTTTAAAAGGTGCAGTTAAAAACAAGGCATGTTTAAATAAACAGCTGAGAGGAAAAGATGGAAGACCCCCCCCCAACCCTCCAATCGCACCTACCTTGAATTGCAATCTTCAAGATCTCTCTTCTCAAAGATCATCCAAGGGTTGTATTGGGTCATTCCTAATTGCTCCCATTCAAATCTGGGGGCCAAACAGCTAGCTTTGGCAGCATAATCAAGTGTTTGTCAACAGAAAAAAAAGATTGCCTGCTTCTTAGCACATAATCTTGGAGATGTCTACATGCTTTATTATGCTGTCTTAGAATAATAAAGGTTTGATAATGTATATTCCCATTGTTTTGAAACAAA